ACACTGACAACTTCAAACCAAGTGGACCGCAGAAAGCATGATTATATGCACAGAGGCAACTGGACTCGAAAGAGTGTTCTTTCGTAAGAAGCGTTGACTTTCCTAAGTATTATTATTATTTGTTATTATTTATCAGACGTTACATGCAGTGAAATGATGATTGAACGGAGTGTACGGATGGCTAAGGCCAGGCTACCATTGTCCTTGACAGGTTGATGCCAAATATATGTCTTGATTAGAAATAAAAGACACAAACAAAACTACACATCTTTTAAATTAATTTATTCCATATATGTAATTTGTTCAATCATGGATGATTCATCTCTCTTTCAATAAATACTCACTATATGCACTATTTGGCCATGAGTTACTCTCTTTTGATCATTACTTTTCTGCTGTAACATAATCTTTACATGATCATAATCAAACAGTGATGAAAGCGAGTTACTGTGATACGTTGCTGTCTGGGGCCAAAGTGGAATCCACCAATCAGAGTGCTGCGTCCGAGGCATAGGAAGATTTGAATATGAGAGAGAGGTGCCTTTGACTTTGACCACTAACAAGATGGCACCCTGATACTTTACCTAATGATGTTGAAAAGCTGGGAAGATGTGGTAAATATGAATCTAGAAACACTGGGCCTCATTCACGAACGGTTCTTAGGAACAGATTTGTACGTAAATCCTACTTACGAGGTTTTTACGAAGAAAGTGGCATTCACAAATATTTCTCGTAACCAGAATTTCTCTTGGGCAAGTACAAATCCTACGAGTCCTCAGGAGCACTCGTACGCATTCAGTGCCGACATGTTCACACGCCGGGGTTGTCCTCTTTGGTGAAGTTTAATAAAAATACAACATTCCAGTGATATGTCCGTCATATCGATGTATGTATTTATTTATTTGTAGTAATCTTTATTAGTAATCTTTATTTATATACCGCCTTTTTCACTGCAGATCTGGCCTACTTTTTAATTCATTTTGAAATGAAATGTGCCAACGCTTTATCAAATACATTGGAAATCTTGCCGTGTATTAGTGACCCCTTCCTATTTATAGGGGGCATTTCTTTATCCACGGGCCACAGAACAACGGCATATATACTGCTGCTGCAGGAGGTTACTGGGTCCGCGCTGAGTCTCTGCGCTGGTCTCTCCTATGGATCTATACGGGTCTGCACTGGTCTCTCCCATGGATCCATACGGGTCCGCGCTGGTCTCTCAAGTCTGGTCTATGCGGTCTCTCTTCGGTCCGCGCTGGTCTCTGCGCACCGGTCTCTCCAGTCAGGTGTCTCCAGTCTATGCGGTCTCTCCTATAGGTCCGCGCTGGTTTCTGTGTGCTGGTCACTCCAGTCAGGTCACTACAGTCTATGCGGTCTCTCCTATAGGTCCGCGCTGGTCTCTGCGCACCGGTCTCTCCAGTCAGGTGTCTCCAGTCTATGCGGTCTCTCCTGTCCGCGCTGGTTTCTGTGTGCTGGTCACTCCAGTCTCTCCTCGGGTCTGCATTGGTCTCAGCGCTGGTCCGCGCTGGATCTCCTCCCAGGGTCCAAAATATTTTGAGATTAATCTCAAAACATTTTGAGATTCATCTTTAAAATAATACATAATATATTTTTAAATTAAGCTCATAACATTTTGAGATTAATCTCATCATATTCTTAGATTAATCTCATAATTTTGCTAGTTCGACTTTATTATCATAATATTTCGACTTTTAGGTCAACATTTTATAACTTTATTCTCAGTCTGGCAAAAGCCTGCTTTAGGCCTGTTGCTGTTTCCTCTGCCGTCTGCACACGGCCCTGCAGTCCCTTATATGGGCATTAGTGGGCGGTTACTTATGCTAAGTACCTATGGTAATGAAGCACCGGGCACGCGCGCGCTGTACTTACGAGGAAATGGGATTCATCAATCTGAGAGAACAGCTGCGAACAATTCAGCGGCTTACGAGCGCGTTGATGAATCCCACGTGGGGACTTCTTAGAAATCTACTTAAGGACAACTTGAGAAGAAAGTTGAGTAGTTTCTTACGAAGTTATTCGTGAATGAGGCCCACTGTTTTTTGTTTGCCAAAAGAAAACATGGCATCATCACTCCAGACATGACCAAAACCCTGCTGCCTTTTTGCAGTTTGGGCCCAATAGTCTGACTGACACTAGACACTTTGAGCTATTTCCAGTACAATGCTGATTCTCATCTATATTTGTTTTTGTCAACAACTGCCCTTCATATCAGGCAAAGCATTATATCCATGGAAATGAGCAGGTGGTGAACCTTCGCACCTTCAGAGCAGAAGCTTTTCCGTCCCTGGGATAGTGGCTGTTGTGGCTGTGTGTGGGGTCTTAATGGGGGTCATGGGACCCTCATCTTAGACCAACAGCCTCTGGAAGTCCTGATGTAGCTCTGTTTCTGCTGAGTGGCTTCAGTTCAGGTCCTCATCAGCTCTCTGCGGACTCTCGTCTCCTTCACATGCACCTTGACGGAGCCCCTCTTTCCTCTGCCTTTGGTTTGTTTACTGATGCACTTTGTCAGTGCCTCCTAAATGCCATACATGTTTATTACAATACAAATATAATCAAAATTAGATAAAAGAAAATGTATTTGTCCCTTAGTGGGAAAACTCTTTGCAGCACAGATTTCAACAATGAGTATACGCAGCACTGTGAGAGATACATGGCTAGTACAATATAAAAAAGCATCAATATATATATATATATATTAAATAAAATATAAAATAATTTAGGGTCCTAGTTAAAGTCTATAACATCATGAGCACACTATGAAAAAGATGATCAACAAGGGTTGCACAGAGCAGCATATGGACAAGAATAGCGGACAAAGAGACACCCACCCTAAACTTGAGGGAGATCTCGGCTCACTGGCTGATCTTTGGGCACCTCTGGTGTAGATAAATCCACACAGTATCAGCCCCATGTTTCTGTGTCACATGGAGAATACTTGGAGCGCTTTGGCTCCTTCCACTCACATCTCGGGTCTCACATTTTGCCGTGATATCCATAACATGATTATGTGGATAAGTGTTAATGCACGCCGCCTCATTTCATGCGGCTGCATAATTTATGGCATTACTCTAAGCTCAGTGTGAAAGCGAGTGCATGTTTCCTGTCAATTTATTCGGTCGCACAGCCTGTTGTTGTCTCATTACTTCACAATAAGGCACAAAACATTAAGATCAATGTTTGTTATAACCGCATGTTTTGTATTTGTCTGGTTCTTTGCTATTTTACAGTGTGGTATTTTTAATTACTCTTTTTTTTTTTTCATTTGCTTGCCATAAACTTTGTTCCGTATCAGTGAGGTGGGGTACTTTCATAATATTATACTTTTGGTTTTGCCCCCATTAAAGCCTTTTCTCTTTATTTATTATTTTATCTCTTTATTTTAGATTTAGATTTATTTGGTAATAGAGAGTTGCTGTTGTTTGTTTTTTTACTGAATTATTTAGAATGTACATTACACACACACACACACACACACCCTCTCCCTAATTTAGTTCAACATAGGCTATAGAGCAGTTGGAATATTACAGACTTTTTCAAATATGATGCAATCAAGAAACTGCTGAAACTCTCTTGTCTCTATAAAATGTAACAAAAGTTATATATTTTGTCCGTTCGTTGCATGTAAGACTCCATGATGGTTTTGAAGACATCACATCTGCATTCAAAGCACCAGAGACTTGCTATTGTAAGCCACACAGAGAAGCCATTTTGGGTCACCCGTGGCTCGTCTGTCTTGCCTAAACAGTTGTATTCGTTTACATCATCGTCAGAGTGCCTGGAGAGGGCTGTTATTTTTACCCGGTGCTTTGTTTTGGATGCTGGCTGGTGCGATGGGCGGAGGCGGTGCGGTCTGCTTGGGGAGTGAGGGGAATGGTGGTGGTGCAGAGGTGGAGAAGGGGCTGCCTCGGAGCCATGGCACTCTAATTAATTCTGCATCCGTCCTGCTCCCTTCCCGCATTTGTTTGGTTCTTTTGAAGTAACTCTTTGAGATGGCAACAGATTTCGAGGGATTGGGGGACGGTTTAGTAGCAGTCGTGGTGACAAACTAACGTGTGTATAGATGTAGCCACCCAGGTCCTAAACATCCTGTCTAACGAGCAACAACAATTTAGCCATCTACTTTTCTTAATGGGAAAAAAAACACCTTAGAATAAAGAAAATATAGAGAGTAAAGCGTTTAAGCTCTGTCGACTCAGAGTTGGCATTGTCTGACTGCATATTTATATCTTACCTGTATTATTATTACATTTACACCTTGGGCATTGGGAAGTACGTGTTTACTTACCATTTCTTATGACTCTACATGGAGCTAATAAAACGATCGAAAGGGCAAGATCACAGAAGTGGTCGAAGCGCGTTTACTCTGCAGAGTAGCTAAGTGCTCCTCAGAGATGGGGTGAGTCCACATGAGAGGGGACCGGAGTAGAGTCACGGCTCTTCCACGTCGAGAGCAGACATTTGAGGGTTTTGAGCATGTCCACAATTATACTTTATGTTGTTGCAGATTGTGTTTCTTTGTTTTAGAAGTAGTTATAGTCATTTGTTGTTCTCTGTATTGCCTCAAAAGATTCTGGTTGCTGTGATAAGCTCAAGTCAATAGTGCACTCCACCCTTATAGATTCTTTGACAAATTCCACTATTACCATTCAGCAGCTCAAGTGATTTGTGATGTTCTATAATGTGGGGGCGGATCACGATTTTATGAGAACCTATGGACTCATTACTAGATATATATTTTTATGCGTGAGCCACATCACAGTATTCAAATGCTTTCTTGTAAACAACTATACTACAAACCAGCGAACAAATGGGCTCCTTGACATAAACAGTAATACGTATCATCATTTCCAGAGAAAAGCAAAGCTGCTCTGTGTGGCCTCCGGTTCATTGTTATTCTGTGTTGCCCTGTCTGCCGATTCGCAACATATTTGCACTTGACTACAACAAGTAACAACTCTTTCTCTCCTATTTTTTCCCAGATGTTTCCAACATCAATGAAACCGGCACCAGCAACACAGGTGTGTTTTCCTTTTGTGCTTCCGTATTCCACCATCCATATACTTCACACGTATACTATATCCACTTCACACAGCCTTGCATCGGCTACATCTCTCTTTGAGTTTTCTGTGCTGTTTTCTCACACGCACCTGCCTCACTATCCATAAAACATCACAGAAAACACTTTGATTATACTCTCAGGCCCTGGATGTCCACTGCATAGAGAGGGGTAGACATTGTAATGTAGATGCAAGTGGAGATGCAAAAGAAATAAAAGCTATGATCAGACTCAGACAGGCTGGTATCCAGCAGAGAATAAAGCACATATTGTTTGCTGACGAGAAGAACACCAAAATTATCTATAGTGGGGACAAAAAAAGGTTTTTACTGTCTTTTAAAATCTATTCTCTATCCGGACTTGAAAGAGGAAGCAACTGTCTCTCAAATGTATTCATGTTGCTTTTACTTTACAATCATTCTTTCAAATAGATAAGAAAATTACAGGAAGGGCATTACAGTCAGGAAAAGCAGGCTAAAAACTGCACTGTGTACAATTTATGGTGGACAGTGCCTGTATCTTCTGTAACAGGTTTGCCTCTTAGCAACAGTGATGCTTCAGTATCCAACTCAAATTTCATGGCAAAAAGTAATGCAGAAAAACAAACCTTTCTGATTCCCTGCTGGTTGTATATTCTGGTAATTCCAAACTTAAAATACCATTACTTTGCATTAATTTTGTTGTAATAAAATTAAAACAAGAGCAGTTTGTGAACAACACTGTTCAGAGAATAATCTGGGATTAATGTTTGTGTGAAAACTTTATGTTCAGTATTCCAACACTTTATGTAAAGATTATATTTCATTATTGATCAGCCGTTTATTTTGCCAAAGCATAAGTTGAATAAGAATCCCTTTACATATTGGAATGGACCGAACTTGGACTGGTGGCGCTTGCTTGCATATCTGTGTATGCCTTATTTAATGAATAGGTTTTTGTGTGTGTATGGCTCCTGGCTTAAGCTAGGCCTATGAACATTAGACTTGCTCTTTTTACAAGACATATGCTTTATACAATATATTGTAACACATATCTCATTCAAAAACTGCTTTATATTTAGTTTTCTAAGCTACAAGCAGTCCAATTTCACAAGACCTAAACTTGAGTCCTTTGTTGTCAATAAGCACTATTGTGTGTCTGTGTTCAGTCAGACGTGCACTTAAAAAATGATCCCTCTTTTCACTTTTTTGTTCTTGTTTTTATTGCAATTACAATCCAGTTAAAACAACTATTCCCAACTTTCCTTTTGCAGACACACAGGCAGAAGTTAAGACTGAGCCAGATTTGAATGCTCCTGACAACTCGCAGTCCAAAGGTAAGGACACAGAGGAAGCGTTATCACTCCCATCTTTATTTATAAACCACCTCTTATTAGCGACTGCAGCTGCTGAATTAAAATGCGCTCTTCCAGTCCTTGGTGAGACGCTGAGAGCTATCGAGCCGGCAGACATTTTTATGCCTCGTACACACTCCCCTGTCCCCAACCTGATCCACTCCTGTCTCATTGCCTTCTTCTGCTGGGCCACTCTCAGTCTGGGCTCCTTCAGGGCCAAACGCATTTGTAAACCCACCACCACTACGTCCCGGGACCCCTCTGCTCTGACCCTGATTTTTGGTATGAATGTGTCAGCGAGTGCGTCTTTGGAGATTGAGTGTGATGAATTGCCCACAAAGTCGACCATCAGACGTTTAATAAATCAAGCGGGCAATGCATATTATTTTAACACGGACTGTAGGGGAAGTAATCATGCCAATAAATCATATTGGAGAAGGATCGCACACTGTTGTTATTCTGGGTCTCCAGCGAGATTTGAGGTAATAAGACGGGATATAATTTGAGAGTTGTCAACAGGAGTTCACTGCTGGATTTCTGTCTTCATTTAGTTTGTCATCTCTGTGTACAGAAACGCATACCATATATTCTGTAAATATACTAATATTTACTTGGTCAGTGTGTGTCAAAGTTAAGCTACAGTATATGAGCCTGTTTTATAGCTGCATAAAGCCGTTTCATGGATAAAAAAAATTTGTGGTAAATTTTACTTCAGATGTCAGAAGAATACCTTTGAGTGTGAGTAGCTCAGAGGACTTCCACAGTGTTTTTTACAGTTTATGCACGGCTTTTGACAGCTGCAGCAGCACTCAGACCTACAATGAACAGGTTTGATATTTCCGTGATTGCGCTTCAGCAGTCTTGAGTTCAGGTGATTACAGTAGATACAGTAAGTGTATGACGTGTGTGGTGAGGGGTTTAACAGCTTTAAAACATACAGCTGCTACTTAAAGGATTTTGCTTATTATAGATATTTTTAGAACGTAACCTCTGCGATAAACAAGGAAGCACTTTATATCATCCTGTTCCTACTACAGAGAATACATTATTTAACAGCGATTCAGTAAAACATGACCTTACTTGAACGCTGAAAGGTCAGTCAGGTCATATGTTTTGACCAAAAACACAAAAACAGCATCACATTCTGCTTCTATTTACCATTCGCCATTATTATTATTTTTTGTATAATAGTTTCCTTTATTTAGTCATTTTTTCTTTGACACAATCCACAACTGTCTGCCCAGCTAAAGAAAATAATTTCACATTTGGGCATCAGCTATTTCCCAGGTAGCAAAAATTCATTAAGTTGTGCATGGATTGCCAGGGTTGCATAAAGAGCGCAGGCGAGCAGCATATGAATAAGTTGGCAGAGACAAAGAGCTTGTGGCAAAGGCAGGAGCTCCGACAATGATGGACAAAAGAAAAGGCTGCTGTGGAGGAGTATGTTGTTCTGTGAGTGCATTTTTAAAACTCGTGCACCTCTGCACGCAGGCATCGATGCTTTTAACACAGCTCTTTGTCACTTCATCAGCAGCAATGACTTCCCGCACCAAAAATTACAAAACACACATTTCTTTATTTTGTTCACACTATTCATTCAGTCATGAAATGAAGCTGTGGTACCTCATTTTTAAACATGAAATGGAACATCCATCCTGGGGCAGCAATCTGTAAGCAGAGACTTATCTAGTCACACATAGTCCCTAAAACGTGTCCTGGATCTTCCCTGAGGTCTCCTTCTAGTGGGACATGCCCTCCTCTCCCCTCCCAGGGAGAGGAGGCTTGTTTTTTGAGGGTCCATTCAAGTAGTTCCTCATTCTCAAGACAGTTTGGTTCTCTCATTAGATTTCACATGAATGGATTTTTGGCTTCTGTCACATCCAATGACATCTTTTTTGTTCAAAACTTTCTTGGGTCATGCGCCGATTAACGATTCAGAAGAAGCCATTTCACTAAGAGTTGATTCTGATCCATCTGTGTTAATCACACTGTGAGCGAGATAAACAGACTGTCAAATCCTAATTAGTGACAATGGCAGTTCCTGAAATGACAAGTTTTCATTGAGCTCCAATATCTGCAGGTTCGGAGGAAGTGTAGTAGTCTGTATGGTTGTATGATTTAAACGCACAATGTGGTCAAGAACTATTACTGAGTGTTTAAATCATACAACCACAGTGCTTCAAGTTGCTTAATCTGCCTTTACCATGGTCAAAAAACTCACACACTCAAAAATATGTTTGCTTCTTAGCAGCTGATGCGATGGCCAAAATGAAGACGCGCAATATTTTCCTATCTTTACCTCATAAATTTGACACAATAACAAATGTATAGCACGTTTAGCAGCTTTATCCAACACCCTACTGCATAATACAACTTTAAAACTAACTTTATTATGAAACTGTTCAGTATTTTTGCTCATTGCTGCGTGTTGCCATGGTGACGTCTTATTTACGGCATTTAACACAGTTTAAATAGAATCAATTAACATAAGTTTGCAATACAATCCTCACTGACCATGGAATGAATGTTTTCAATACCCAAATACTTTTCCATAATGTCTTTTCTGGTCTTGTATCAATGAAATAGAATACCAATTTTGACACGACAATAATGAATAAAAAGCTTTTCTATTCCACATGGTTTCCTTCTCCCAAGACCCTATTCAACGAATGAGCTTAACACTATTTTTTATCTTTTGCTCTCTCTCTTTTTTTGCTCTTCCTGTTCAGACGCTGACCGTGAGAAGAAGGATTGACCAGCAACGGGGCGGACAATCAACCTCATCTGACAGCCAGAAAACTGTGCAGACCCCAAGTCACCCAATCACCCACCTATACCCACCAACCATGCTCTCAGCCCACTTTTACTTTGCCTTTTCTCTTTGTTCAAACATTAGACTCTCCCCAAAACAATGTATGGATATGTATCTATGTATTAATGTACATACGGAACCTATAGGACTTGAACATATCAACCAGACGATGAGCCATACCTCACTGTGCGTTTAGCCATTTATAACATTTTACTGAGTGAGAGGAAACAGGTTCTTTTGATTTCAGTCCTCAACTGCTTCTTCAGCCACATAACCAGCACCTAATTTTGTTTATCCCAGGTTAAGATAATACCACCACCTCTGATACACACAGAACACTACAAACTATATTGATATGAACCAATTAACAAGAGGACATTTCCACCAAGTTCTCTGTACAGTGAGACAAGCCTTTTTGGAAAGTTTAGTAGTGATAGTTGACGCATTCTTCGAAAATTATTGGATTTTGCTGAAAAACTACATTCATCACTCAAAAATCTATTGCTATTGCTTATCTGAAAACTGCATACTGGAAAAAGACACAATTTAAACCTCCACCATGTAATCTTGCGTCCATTTTTAGTGATTTTATCTCCAAGTATGGCTCGGCTCCGATACAACATTGTCATGCCTAACAACACCCAGCTTTCATACCAACTAAACCAATATGTGCGTTTTTACCAGATTCATTTTATAGCCGGTGCATGTCAGAATTATGCTTTTGACTCCAACATTAAACATGAAATTCTTTGCTTTTTTGTTCTGTATCGAACCAGATTGTCTCTTCAAAAGAAATCTGCCTTATTTCTTATCAAGGGCGGTATGAATATGACTTCATGGATAAATGATTTGTAATCCTCCTTTAATGGCTAATACTTACTGTTAATGATCTGCTTTATCCCTCTGAGTTATTATTATTTTAGACGTCGGTATGATTCCGCCATTATTTTTGAGTGGTGCCATAATAAAGATCAGATAAATGACAATTCTATGAAAAGATGCCTTCATACTTTGATGTTTGCTTTGCTAAACTATAAGAGAAACGCTAAATAAAGATTTAAGATGATGGACAAGTCTCCCATGTCGTTTGTATGTGTCGATGAATATGCATGTGCCGAGCTGCTGCATTTATTTATTTTTTGAGCTGGAAGGAAAATGATCTCACTCTCACAAATACAAACAAGAAAAAGGGTAAAAAAGAGGGAATTATCAAAAAGGTAATGATTTGTATTCAGCGCTGCAAGCAGATTCTGGCATTAACACTGAATTGATTTAACGCAAAATGACAAACCTCAAAAAGAGATGAAAGAAGAAACTGCCAAAAACACAACTTCTGAAAATCCATTCTATTCTGAGCGCCACTGTTCTCTTAGACGTGCAATAATAACAAGGGAGAAATGTGCTGTATATTTATCTGACAATACAATAACAGAGCATTCGATTTTTGGATGTGGACGTTTGTTTGACGCCGTCTCTAATGGACTAGTACTTTTGCACAGCAGTATACAGTATTTCTGAGTGTCCTAGAGGCATGTAACCAAAATATGGAGATGTTTTCACTGTTTATAGAAGAGCTGGTAATTTTAATAAACAAGTTCTGTTATAATGAATCAAGTAAATGTATAACTGTAAATCCCAGAATCACAACTGAAATCAAACCCATTTATCTCTATCGTTAAAAATCACATGTTGATTTGCCAACAAATTAGAAAAATAAATTATGAACAGATCTGGAAATAAACAAATAGAACAGTCACTAATCAATTCAAACTGACATGTTAAACCAAGGTCCACAGGTTTTTCACAAATGGACATATTTCCTGCCTCTTCTGACACGGAAGCATCCAATGGGAGACCCAAAATGTAGCATGAGCCTCACCCATGGACGAACAGATGCACGGTTGTGGATGAGTCTAGAACTGACTATGTATGATCTATGTTTGTATGTGGCCATCCCTGCGTGTGAAAGCCAGATCCTGTCAGACTTCTGAAGCTAAGCAGGGCAGGGCCTTAACTGGTACTAAGATGGGAGACCTCTATGGGAACACCAGGTCCCACAGAGCGGCGGCTGCGGCTGTAAAGGGCCAAACTGTCGTGGCTTCCTAGGGCAAGACACTGCCCACATTGCCCGGAATGAGTCTGGTGTGTGTGTGTGTGTGTGTGTGTGAATGGCTGGTGGTGGTCGGAGGGGCCAATGGCACATACTGATTGCCTTGCTTCTGGCAGTGTGCCCCAGGGCAGCTGTGGCTAGAGTAGTAGTTCATTACCTACTTGTATAGAGTGAAAGAATAATGACATGTGAAGCGTGTTTGAGTGTCCAAAAAGCGGTATTAAAAAAACAATCCATTATCATTATTATTATTATTAATATCCATCTGCAGATATGAGTTCAAGTCTGTTAATCCAGGCTAGGGAGAGGGCAGGAAGGTGGTTCAAAATGTCCAGTCAAAGGAATCTGGGGTTCAGGGTCAAACGGATAAACTGATATTCACCGAGATTGAGCCAAATGAAGCTTTATTGAAAATTCATTGGGGAATCCGCAGCCAATACCAATCATAACCATTTTACCTCCCTTCACGGCCCACATGCTGCAGAGCCAGTCATCGATCAAATCACCACCACTCAATCTACAAATCACATCAGCTCTTTCGCTATCACCAGTCTATTCCCCTGGGTTAGGCTGCTACTGTCAGAGTCCAGACCAGTGCCATACCTCTGAAATTTTTCAATAAACCTTTCTTGTGTGGAAGTTTCTCCAGGTTGAAATGGAAACAAATCCTTTAAAAACATCCACAAAAAATGAAACTGCTGGAAAAAGAGAAACCTTGAGGTGAAGGACGGCGTCTCTCTCCTGGACTCACAGACTGGAGCTGTATCCAGGACTGACACATGACTTTGCAGGGAGGAAATTACACATTATGCTTATTTGCCTGCAGAGTGTGGTGTGAATAATGCACGGCCAAGAGCACAAACCCAACATGAGATTTGCCCACTGCAGATAGCATGAAGTCAAACCACAATGAGAATGTATGCATCTTAAAAGTTTAAAATTCTGCTGCTGTTACTCAAGTCTAAACTGATTGAAATGAACCACCAGGTGTCCAATACGTTCAGCCTCATCTAAGTCAAAAACAAATTTATCTTGAGAGACGCCATGTTTATGTCCCATTTACCTCTGGCTCACTGGGCGCCTGCCGGAGAGTCTGTCATTGGGAGAAATACTTTAAATTTTAATGACTTCATTTAGATGTTGCATGTGCAGCCGAGGGTCCCCAGCACATGTCAGGGGGGAGACGGCTCACTGCTATTACACCAGCTCTTTGGCATACAAAATGTTTCACTCTCTCAAACCGCCCAGTCCTCCGTTGCAGCCTGCCAGCCTGCTTCTCACTGATGCTGGATTTCTTAGCGCTTACACATTCTTACATGTGTTTTGCTCATGTCCTTCTCTGCAACAGTGGTTCTCCATCTTCTTTTTCTTGTTTGCCCATGGGCTTTTGTATGATCTCACTTCGTTCAACATTTCTTTTAGTCGGTTAAAATACAAGCCTGTCTACAACATTATGATTGAATACTTTCTTGCTTTTTCCAAGACATGATATAACAAAATGACATACAATCAAATGAAGGTTGAATGGTGAGCACACGCGCGTCTCAGCCAAGATCCTGGGTTCAATTCCTCCTCCAGTGGACTTTGCATGTTCTACCCATGTCTGCATAGTTTCCCTTTCCCTGGGACTAGGACTCTCAAAAAACACAGTGGGACTTTCCTGGTGAATAATAGGTCAATAATACATAGAAAACTAGAAAACTACTTTTTAATTTGATTTTACCCTAATTTCCTCCAATATGAAATTAAATACCATTCAACATAAGTCTTCTACTGCTACCCTACTTTCACCATAACCAGTCAGCCAGGGCAGGGTTTTTCACCCAGAGAGCTACTTTCTAGAGAAGAAAAATGACACGGCGCTTCTCGTTCCATCGGTTCTGGGAAAAATGAATTGATAAATTGGTGAGAGCGAGATCGGGTACTGTCACAATCAACAGATTTATCACATTGTTGATATCACATTTGTTTGTTACAAGTGCACAGACAATAATTGTGAGAATGTGAATAATACATTCTGAAATATTCAGATTTCTAAATCCTTTGAGGAACTACTAGGAAGGGGGTATCGAGCTACTGGTAGCTCCCAAGCTACACGGCGTCCATCATGAAACACCCGGGCTCTTTTGTCTTTTGGCTCTAATTGAATTCTGGTTTTGATTGACCGTTGTCTTATGAGCAGGTTCTTGTAAGTTACCTCTGTGTTTGTGCTATGTTTTATCAATTTTCCAGATGAAAGCTCTGCAGACCGATTCTCTCTTTTTCCATCTTTATCACCTGAGCAACAAATCCTATGATGCCTGTGAAGACAAATTGGATTGAAGTAATTGCTATTTTCTAACCCTTTAAATCCCAATGCTACAAAACTCTTTTTAACAAAGAAAACACACATGTCCTTCATCAGGATGCGTCTACCCTCCTGGAAAAGAACAGGCTGCACACTATAGGTGAACTAAGCAGAGATAAGTGGTTTAATTGGAGGGAAAATTGATGTTGTTCATTACGGATGCTGGTCTTCAAAGCTGCAGCTCCTCTGAAACGTTGAAAGGAAATCGACTTGTGCAGTGCGTCCATGTTAACTTTGAACAAGTAAGGATGTGTCGATTAGAACGCACTGCACAAAACACATGCAGATCCCACATGGCAAAAGAAAAGATCAATATCATGGGCTCTTGTGACACTCTGATGCAGGATATAGGACTGACACAAAGTTATCTAACTATTGTTTCAACAAAAACACAATAACACTATAATCCTTTATTTTAATGGCCCACTTTTATTGTCTGAAAAGAAGATGTGGCCAGGGAATAAATATATGATGATGATAACAATCATTTTAATAGATTTAATCAATTTTAATCCAACCCAAGATATTCTCAAGACTTTAGGTCTTTGTAAAGTAGACACACATCCAAATGCTCATGTGCAATCCTATTTAATTTTATGATGACCATTCCATGTTGTTAGAGCTCCACAGTGGGTGGTTTATATAACTATTCATTCTTTCAATCTAAAATACATGTGAATGACCGGTGTACATGACTTAGGTTAACGGGCACCCCCTTCCCCCCCATGACTGTGAAATGGACTGTAAATATTGCACATTTTTGTCTCTTGTGTGTGTCTGTAAATATTATGTGTAAATACTTTTTGAATCTCTGTACTGTATTTTAATTATGTTTTGATAATAAAAAGAAAAAAAAAAGAAAAAAACGGGCACTTGAAAAACTACAGCTTTGTATCCGTGATCGATTATCCTTGTGTCTGTCCTATGTTATTATACTGTACATGTTTTTTTTTTTTTTATGGCTACAGTAACTCCATGAAGCAGAGACGCCTAACTCTTGTTTTATATATAATAGGTGTCATTTATCACAAAAGAAAGAGTCTTGTTTAAGTAAAATGTAGAGAAGAAATCACACCACAACACGCTGTCGTTATCTAATTAGAAAGAAGAACGTTGTTTTGGATGGTTCCATGTGCTGTGGTGGTGTGAAAGTTAGGTGCCCCAGCTTTAGTTTAAACATAAACATGTAAAAACAAATCAAATAAAAACATTTGTCTCATTATGATTTGAAACGACATAATGGAGATTCTGGAATGAGTTGCTCCATTCTATATTTTTGTTTCCAAGACAACAACTGCACGATGTCACTGATGTAGAATGTCAGTCTCTCACCAAAGTTCTATCATTTGGTTCATTTTGCACCGAACGCTCGAACAGTCAGTCGTGTTTACACAGCTCTCTGCTATTTCCACATTTCAATCCACTTTAACTGCAAAAACTCATCAGAGAATCTTCTGGTTGTTGAGTAAAACAGGTAAATATTGTGTGTACTTCACTATCGACAAAAAGCTGAGTCTTTCAAAAGTAAGTTTCATGGTTCAAGGGATTCACAGTGGATGGATGACGGACGATATTTGTTCCATTAACATGTGTTTCCCTTGATAGCATGTACTTAAGACGTTTTCCACATGGATTTGGGGAATTCAAAGATGGAAATATCCATCTAGTAAATGCCAGTTCCTCAAAATGCTTTTGTATGGTTTTAGCCTTTTAGATTTCTGAAGGGGCCTTTTATGAGAACTCACTCTTTGGTCTTAAATTATACATAACTAATTGTCGAGCTATATTTCTTTACAGCGACACAGATAATTAGAATTGAAATAAATCAGTCATAATAAACAATTGTCACTCGATTACAATTATTTGATTTTCTTCAGAATACAAACCATGTACAGGACAAACTCAAATTTAAAGTGAGGATAATATTACAAAAATCTAGGGCCATAATTACGTCTTTGTAAATAAAATGCATATAAGGGTAACTAAGCGATAATATTAGAGTAACTCAAGTACAACCAGAGTATGTGCATGTGATCTGAAATGCACATTTGTATAATTATTGCTAGTTATGCCTTTATTGTAGTTTCAGCACTGTTCCTCTAACAACATGGACATCTTTGGGATCACCTCTTTCCATGGGCACAAGTCAGAGGTAAATCGTTGCCATTCGCCGGGTGTCGAGGGCGTCCCCATGGTTCAGGACCAGGAGTACAAGCGTCTATCTCCTCCTGACCTAAACCCTTCAGGATTGGTACCATTCCCAGTGGCCAGACCGGACCACGGTGAACCGATGGAGTCTCTGTTTGATCTGATTGAACAATTATATGACTACGATCCTCGGTCTTTACCGGAAGAGTCAGTGGCAGATCCCTCCATTGACTCTGGCAACATTAATGTCTGGGATGAAGTCCAGGATGATCCACAGGTTTTTCTGCCTCTGGACCCTGAGCCCCAGACTCCACAAATTGTGAACACATTTGATTGGACCTCTGAAAACATGCTTGACCTGGTGAGTATGTTAATTACTATGCTTTTATTATGGTGTTTTTATTTCAGTATTTAACCAGGGTTTGTCTCACAGTTGAATAATTGACAATATTCCAATACTAGAATTAAGAGGAATCATATAAATCTTGGCCTCGTTAACAAGTGTATGATGAGAAACAAGTAAATGAAAGTGTTGTGCAGGAAACATGGACAGATGGAACAAAAGTTAACTTTTTTAAACTTAAGAAAATATATACGATATACGAGGATGTGCAGTACTGACAAAAATTAGTTTTTTGTAAATTGTAGTAACAGTTATTCTAGACTGTTACTACAATATTCTATTTACTGTGGATTACATGTAATGTGTCGTTGCTCGTATTCATTGTTTGGTTGTTGTTGTTTTAACTTTACAGGGCTCTGAACCTGAATGTGCCCCCGAAAGAAAAAGGGAAGCTGTTTTGGAAAATGTCCTGACACACATAGATGCACTGCCCTTCACAGAAGACCTGGGGCCTTCCGTGGCAGAGAGTGTCCAGGAATCTGATGAAAGGACGTCAAAGGAAGACACTGTTGCACCTCAGCTGGTAATTATAGAGAATAATAATACATCTACATATAATGTTTGTTTATCTGGGCAACAGTTGGTGAAGCGACAGCCTACAGTTGACTAACAGGGCTCTATCTTATGCAAAAGATATTTAAGATGAAGCATGTTGCAGTCTGAGTTGTTTATTTAATCTAATTTTAAAATACTATTTTTGTTTACTCAAACAATGGTCTTCTACGTACACCTGAATATAAATTATGGATCATTCTGTGATTTCCAGGCTCCATCCCAGTCCACACAGATGGAGTTGTGTGACAAAGCGTCCAAGAAACGCAAACGCACAGAGGAGGATAGCAGTGCTTCTATGACTGACGGCCGCCCCGCCGCAGAGACCAGAGACCCGCAGCCCAATGCTGCAAAGAGACCCAAACCCCGGCATATGGTATGGGCCAAAAAACCGAAAAGCTTTATATGCATATAAATATAACCTATAGCCAGAGTTTGTTGTTTGTTTTCTCTTGACTTCCTTATCTGGTTATTACTGAAAGTTGTTTATTTACTTTCAAATCGAGATGGATTGCTCGATTTGAAAATAAGCTATAATTGTAGAATTAAGTTACGAGTCTATCTCAAAATCTCCCTGCAGGTTCATTGTTTGTCAAAAGAAGACCAGATCAAAATGCTACGCAAAGCAAGAAAGCTGAGAGAAGCTAAAACACTCAACACTGCAAACAAGGTGCAAAAGCCGGTAGTGGAAGAAAAGGTACGTTCAAACACGATCCATGATGAGTACTTGTGCTCATCATGGATCATCATTTAAAAACAAAAACAATTGTAGTATTCATGGCATTGGTTCATATTTTTCAAATGTTTTTTAAAGGTGTATTGTATGTACATAATGCTGCTGTTGTTACTTTGCGGAACTCATTATGGTTCATAACGTGGATAGTCTTCAAATATGGAGGATTTAACAGTGAGAAGAATCACCTCACCACAGTTATAACTTTTATCATAGCCCAGTGAAGTCATACACTTGTTGGCAATACTGTAGAAAGTTCCAGGCAAACCAACATTTATGAACAGAAGGAAAAAAGCCAAACTTAATGCACCTTAATTTTACTGTATCTTTTAAATCACACACAGTTCTTATTGACCAACCGTAACTGTGTCATCTGTATTCATTCATAGCCCCTTGCCTAGGGTACAAAGTGCAGCATACTAAGCATAAATGTGACAGTGTACAATGGTTAATTAACAACAGGTTAATAACTATAAAAATGAGCAGTGAAAAGCAGTACCACATGGACTGCAGATTATCAATGTTTTGTCATATTTTATTTTAATTTGTGTTACTGTTTTTGACTGAATGATCATGTTTATTCGGATATGTGCCTCAACAGCCCGCTCCAGTCAGTCCTTGTCCTGCGTCCTCAGCTTCATCTCAGCCAGTAAGTTATATTAAAGAAATATGGCTACTATATTTATTGTACAATACATTCATCTAAAGTATACAACAATACCTTGCCCAAAGTCACAGATATGGTTTATTTCAAGAGTGAAATAAACAGCTACAGTATATAATTATGAAAAATGCAATATGTCTTCTTTCCTATTTATAAAGTCCTAATAGGTGTGCGTACATTTCAGGCTGCTCCTCCTCAGGCTGCTCCTGAGACATGTGCTCAGTGTGTGCAGTGCTCAGGCTCCTCTGAAGAACTCACACTGGAGTTCAGAAGCATCATCGGAGCCGACGTCCAAATGGATCCATTCAAGGCCTGGTTATTGGAAATGGTAAGTGCAGTCTGTGGGACACAAGTCTAAAATATAGAACTTAGTAAAAACAGCCAAATGATCCCGTCAAATCTCAGAGGCTAAGAAGAGCAGGGCCTGGTTAGCACAGTAATGGGAGACCTCTGGGAACACTAGGTACCATGCACACTGGGGTGGCTGAGGCTTTAACTGGTTGCCTTGCTTGTCTCAATCTGCCCCAGGGCAGGAGGGGCTACTGTGGTAGTTTCTCACCATTATGGACTGAATGAATAATGTCATGTGAAGCATCTTTGACTGTCATGAAAAGTGCTTTATAAGTGGCATGGCTTTATTTTAATATTGTCCTTCATATTATGGCATAATGATCACAACTACAGTACTACTGTCTGCCATCACTATTTTTGGTTGGTTCACCTTGTCAATCAACCTTGATCTTGTCAATCTTTATCTGGAAGTCAGGATCTTCGCTCGCTCATTCTCCACGACCTTTGGAGGAGTTTCCCACTTAGACCTTGGGGTTTCCAGCCCATACTCTGCACAGATGTTTCTATGCCAGCCACTTGGTTATGGCGTTCCATGTAGGCCTTCCATGCCAGCATCTTGCACCCTGCAGTTATGTGTTGGATCGTCTCAGGTGCCTCTTTGAGCAGCCGACACCTTGGGTCTTGTCTGGTGTGGTATATCTGGGCCTCTATCGCTCTGGTGCTCAGGGCCTGCTCCTGTGCAGCCATGATGAGTGCCTCTGTGCTGGTCTGTAGGCCAGCCCTTTGTCATTGGTAGGACTTCTTTAAAACACTGCTATGTTTTGGTGGTCCATGCCGTGTAGGGGTTTGTCTTTCCATGATGGGCCATCCTCCACGACATCCTCATCTTACAGTCTGATACTTTTTGTTTTGAGGTGAATAGAAATAAGAAACATGTGAAATTCTCTATCTTCTTCCTGCAGTTTGGACAAGTGGCGAAGACGTATAAGGTCAGAGTGATGGAAAGAGCCAAAAGGTGCCTTAGGGTCTTAGGATTCCTGGACACTGAAGAAATGGATATCAGGCATTTGGTGGAGAGCTTGGTAAGTGTAATGAACTTATATACATTACTACTATAGGCAAGCTTCTTTCATGTTTTCACTTGATGTCAGCAAAACAAACATTTGTTAAACAAAAAAAGGAGTGGTAATAAATACAAAAATGGTATATAATATTTTTTTTAAACTTATGTTACAGATGTCACATGTTCCTAAGACATTTGCGATAAGACATATGGAAATATTCAATCATTATTTCAAAACTATACGTACCCACCCGCCTCCTGGGTCCAGGAGAAAACGTCAACTCATCAATCAGCCGGATGACTGTTCATCATACAACTGCCATCAACATGCTCCGATGTATGCCTCCCAGCATAAAAAGCCTTACACTGCACCACAGTTTCAGCCACAGCCGCCGTTCATGCCGACGTACATGCCGACGTACATGCCGCTATGCATGCCGACGCACATGGCGACATACATGCCACCGTGTATGCCGCCATGGGGGCAGCTGAATGCCCCGCCGTACACTCGGCTGCACACACTGCCAGACACACATCCACGTCAGGCTCAGGTAATGACAATGTTGTGAGTAATATATTAAAATTCTTCAATGGTATGTTTAATTGTGTACTTTTAAGTCCACACAGACAAATGTGTGTGTAACACCTGAACACGTTGGTAATGCACACAAATCTTCTGTGACGAATCATCACCCGTCATTCTCAGAGGACAGAAAGCAGCCGTTCGGCAGGTTCCAAGAGCCCAACACTTGGACTCAGGATGAGGTAAGGGTACATTTGACCACACATCATTCTCCCCTCAGCTCGGGCCTTTTCAACAACAAAAATTGCTGCATTCTTTGTGTCCATTTCCAATTAATGTAACTTTTAAATAGGCCACAAATCAGCCTTTGTGCATCTATTTATGTATCTGTTTTCAGCAGAACTCTGTAACGCTGGAGTTTGATACAATATACCAAAAAGAGGTTTAAGTATGATGATAATGCAATTGCTTCATCAAATGTCTGATTCAAGCAGGTTAACATGACATAGTTGATCAGTACAGATTTTAGGACTTTTATACAGTGATAGAATATAGTAGATGATAAAAGATCAAGATATTGATGGTTGCAATTTGATGGAAATAATACATCAAATTAAATAATAATTCCCAATGGTGTGTAATTATAAACATTATAGCAATTGCAAAACATTGCTCAAATGAGTTATGACTAAAAGTAACAAAAGGACTTCTCAATATCAAGTCAAACACACATGGTCAGCTCTAAACAAAAAACTTCCTCCTCCAACGAGGGGCGCACTTGTACTGGACACTCGCCGTCCCGACCGGACGTCCCACCGCTGTTTAATCAGCTGTTGGCGCAGATTAAATTGGGCGATCCCATTGACTCCACAAGAATGACAGGGCTGGAGATCAGGCGGGTACTAAGACAGAGACGCATAAACAGAGGAAGACACGCAGGGAGAGAAGGGTGTTTTACTCAAAAGACGCCAACAAGAAGCCATAGTCAATACACCTCACAAATGTTTTTTGCTTTATGAAAGAAAGAGAAATAATCTACTAGGAGGAGGACGCAGTCATTTCTACTATATTAGATACTGCAATACTGTATTATTAACATACTATACCAGTTATAAAAAAGACAACTAGATATTAGACATTAAGTTGGACCAGTTATTAGATAATATTAGGTTAAACATGTAATAATCCAATTGATAATTTATGTAGTAAAGATGACAGTTATTCAGTCCATATTTTAAGAACTGTGTTTACAATGGACATGTAAACAGGGAGTGAATACAGATGAATAAAGGAATAATATATTTTTTTTATCTTTTTTTCTTTAGCAACCAACAGCCTTTGGTTTGTTTAAACAGTTGGAGTGGGACAACGTCAAGGCAGAGGTCAAAATCCAGAACAAAACTTTGATTAATGCTGTTCTCCAAGACAAAGTAAGTCCCAACAAATTCATTATACTAAATAATTTGTCATGTTATTTTATTCAAATAATGTAATAGCATGTGTGTATTATATCTAAAATACAGACATGAAATACAATAGAGCCAACTACTACTACAATACTACTACTAAATCTTATGTTTTTATCTCCAGTTTATCCATTTGTCTAAGGAGGAGCAGGAAACGCTTACACTCATGGCTAAACAAATACGGGTTAAATTCCAACAAAACCTCTGAGGACCTTGTGCTCTGGTGACCCACAAACATTGATTAAAACATATTATTGCATTTGGCCTCTGGTAATTCTTTCGCTTTGTGTAAAAGGTCTATAGTAAACATACATAGTGTGCGTGTGGGAGGAGAGAGTGGATGCTTCCTGTTTAGTGGTAGAATAGCTCAGGACGAACCGCTACATATGAGGCTTTAGATCGGGGCAGTATTGTTGTTTTTCTTTGTGCTCACTGGATTCAAAATGTGTACAGGTGTGCATGAAAGTGTACAGATTTATTAATGATAATACTCACACTCACTCTCCCATTAGTGGAAATAATACATCCAATTAAATAATAATTCCCCAAGTGATGCCATTTGTTGTCCATTAAACATGTTTCAAATTGTCAAATTCCGACACGATTGAGCCGACAAGCCGTACACATGAGGCAGTCTTGGAATGTACAGGAACTGGGAGCTTTTTGCCAAGAAGTATAGGCAGCTTTACCATCAGAGAGGACACACAGCCCCTCATCCACAACTACCACAACTACCACAACTATCACAAAAGGCTTCATTTAGTCATCGATGTTCAACAGGAAAAACACTTCACACAAGAGCTTCACACAACCAGTAAAAACTAAAATAAAGTGCTCCCTTTTTTTTTTTTTCATTCACAATCTCAGAAACAAGCCTGGGACACACTCTATTCCTACCCTGCCAACTTTCAAGCACAATTGTACATCAGACATCATTTTTATTCTTGTTAACCCACTTTCAGCCCTTCATTATGTTCTTCTGTTATTGTTTGTTACAGCTTTTTTACGTTGCTTGTCTGTTCTAAAACAAACACGGTTGACCTTCTCACTGTCTGTTAGTGGGAGCTGTCCGAGGTGCAAAGCTGAGGCAAAAGTGTTGTTTACAAGGTGAAACTTGTAAGGCAAAGTTTCACAAGTGAATTGAACCAAACAGGGGGAACATATTTATTACCCAATGAAATAACCCAAGTGTACAAATCAATTACGTTTATAGGTTTGCCCTTCCAGATACAGTGACTGCGAACAGCTTGATCTAATATGCAATTGTGTGTTTTTTTTTAGTGTTGATCATCAGCAACGGTCCTTCATGAGCCACAGTTAATTTAGCATCATTAACTCCACGTTTCCCATTATCCAATAGGTCAAAGCTTATTCACCACCATCAATACAAAACTGTCTGTGTGTTTTTCACTTTGATGCAATAAATTAAAACTAAAGATTTAAACTTTAATTAGGTGAAGTAATGCACGCTCGCTGGCCTTGTTAGCGAATCATTAACATTTCTGTTGTTATTCATCAGGCAAAAAATGTCTAATGGAAGCAAATGAAATGCAGGGTGCGGTGAAATGTGGTGTAATGAAAATTGACATTAACAGAGGCAATGTAATACGTTGCAACTTTGATACGCTCATTAATGTCACCTGGTTGTTCTGGGGTTGGCTTTTGGTGAATGAAATGTATTGATTTCTCTATGTATTTGTAAAATGTAAAAAAAGTTAAAGTAGCACTGGAAAAAAGTGCTAGTCTTAGAATAGTATAAAGTTCAAGTATTTTGTTGGTAGATGTGGTGTCTGCATTAATAAAAGGTGTACAGGTATGTATAAAAGTAAAAAAGCAATAGTTAGTGGACAATATATTTCATTGAAACGTTTTGAGCAGTGCCTTTTAAAAACTGAAACAACATTATACTGTGGCAGAAATGTGCCCTAACTGCACAATAAACAAAACATGTAGAACTGAAGCTGAAGGGTTATCTGAACATAGCTTTGCAACAGTTTATTAATCATCTTAAAAGCATGGCTAACCACTCCAAAGACGTGCGTTATTTAAGTAAAAAACAGCATGTCACTTTCCACCACCGAAAAAATCCTTTCTGTGTGGTGACTGAGCAAAAAAGGGCCTGACGCTCCACATAAAAAATAAGAAATGTCCACAAAAACATTCTTGAATAATAAAAATTATATTAATTTATTTCAAATTGTACCAAAATCAAAATGAAAAGCAGGTGTGATAGAGAGTGAGGGAGTGAGTGAGGTCAAAGACTGTCTCTTCCTGCTGCACCCACACCTCCAGGTGATACTGCACACCTTATGTAGCCCTTCCCCAGTGCGTCCACTAGATGGCGACAAAAGCGTCCATGGGGCTGTGCAAACTAACTAAACTACATTTTGGCTCCTACAATTAGTACCTTAATGTCTTGCGAATAACATGCAAGTTTTGTATGCAAGGGTAAGTTTTACTACTTGTATGGTGCCATGCTTTTCCAGTGTAGTTCAGGGTCACTCTGTTCACAAATCAGCACAATGATTGCCTTTAGAGCCATTGAAATGAGTCTTCTGCTCGTGTGATTAGCTTTGTCCCTCTCCCTGGCCACGTGCTTATTGCCATTGCCAGTAAAGTTATCATAAACTTGAAATGACAAACAAACCTGAATGCTAAGCTCATTCTGTAGATGAAACCTATCTGATGTTGTGTATAACAGTGGGAGAAGCATGAGGTATTGATTTGCTTCACTTTTCACATCACACTGTCACACAAAGACGATAAGAATGATTTAACCGCCTTAGCTGTTGGGACATGGTTGCCGTAACAACAGACTGTAATAAGAGAAATTTTGCATTCACAATCGTGTGAATCGATTGTCAAGTTTTGAGACGAAAAGGAAACTGGATCACAAATACATCCCGGGTTGTAGTAGAAAGTCAAACCATATTTGCTTTGACAGCCCTTCAATGGAAAATGTACATATCACATTCTTGCAAAACAAAATATATGTGGGATTTGTACTATTTCTGGCATTGCAGCCTTTTCTGTGTAAATAAACAGTTCCCAGCAGCCTTTTGTCAAACAAGAAAAGTATTGTATCTACCTAGAAGCTGCTCGAGGACAAGCTGTGTGTGTGTGTGTGTGTGTGTGTGTGTGTGTGTGTGTGTGTGTGTGTGTGTGTGTGTGTGTGTGTGTGTGTGTGTGTGTGTGTGTGTGTGTGTGTGTGTGTGTGTGTGTGTGTGTGTGTGTGTGTGTGTGTGTGTGTGTGTGTGTGTGTGTGTGTGTGTGTGTGTGTGTGTGTGTGTGTGTGTGTGTGTGTGTGTATTGAAGTTTGTGTTCACATGTGTAGGTCTGGAGGACTGTGAGTGGACCAGGCTGCAATTGTTTGGTCTCCATAAAACTTAGCTCATATAGAGCACCAGAATCTGCTTAGTTCATGCATGTGCGTATGGATACCGTGCCAAAAGGTTCTTGAGAACTTCTGTAGAAGTTCCACCCCCCTCCTTTTACCAGGAACTACTGCGGTGGAAACGCGACACTTGGCAACAAAATCCAAGTTATTCAAACCCAAATTATTCATATTTACTAGAAAGCCCTGGACCCAAACATTAACATGAAAGGCTGGATGCTAACTAGTATTTTCTTTCAAGGAAAGTTGAGCCATTCTCTTCTGTGAAAAGCAGCAGCCATGCAGATCTGGTCCCAGCCACTGAGTCATTCATTTCACTCGTGGGTGATTGCCATAAAGAACGCCAAAATCATCACAGCAACAGCAAAAATAGAGTCTTGATCAGTGTTCCTACTTGTTTTTTTTGTGTTTGGAAAAATCAGTCCACAAACACAAGAAAGGATTCAGCTTAAATGTTGATAGTGACATATATCTCTGACTTAACATGAACAAAACAAGCCTCAGAATGGCTGTAGCGCAAAGTTCTTTCATTTCACCATCAGAAAGTGGGAAGTTGTATCCAGAAAGATGAATTGCATTGAGGGCAATTAATCCAAACATAGTTGGGTAGGGGGAAAAAACACTTTAGCGCCATTTGCATGTGAAATCCGCATCAGACCGGGGAAGGGTCTGGTTCATTCTGTGGTGGGAGCACGGCTTTGGCAGAAAAGTACCAAATTGGTGTAGTCTGTGGCACATAATAGTTGCCTTGCTTCTGTCAGTGTGCCTCAGGGCAGCCGTGGCTACAGCAGTAGCTGTTCACCGCTGTGTATGGTCTTTGATTGCCCCAAAAAGCTAATTTTAAAACCGATTGATAATTATTTTCATTTTTAAATGTATGATTATTATTTAGCACTTCTCCGTTTTGATGTTTGAAAAAATGAGATGCTGCTTGTCTCATGAATCAAATCCCTGCTCGTTTTTGTATCGGTAATTTGTCAGCTTTGTTCAGCCTTCCATCCTCCTACAAGACGTGAATCAGAGAAACATGAGCTCTTGTCTGAATGCAAGCGAAAGAGCCAATTCCTCTGCTGCGGCCAATTTGCTGTGAAAACGTTCAAAAGGTTAAGTTCTGATGAGTTCATTAGATGGGCATTTTACAGCAGGAGATAAAACAGAAAGGGAGAAAGAGACACACACTAACAGAGCTAAACTAGACTTTTTATTTCACAGGTGATAGCACTGATTTGCATAATGATGGCTCAGGGTTGGTGGGCCGGTTGCTCAAATACAAGCCTGTTGTGATCAGCCAATAAGGTTGTTATGGTGTTATGCTTGCTGCCACTCTCTGCTCTTTACACTACTACATTTTGCACATTGAGAGGCGCTGCAGTTAACAATGACAACCTGTGGAAAAGAGTGCGACCCTTAAGAAAACACAGCCGCTACTTGTAATTATGAATTCACAGATAAGGGTGCATGGCTTCTCCCCAATAGGATTCGTTATTAATTCCTATCCAGGACCCCTGCTGCTAGTAATAATGCATCACAAAATTTCCATACTAAAATAGGCGCAGAGGTAGGCAGGAAATCACTCCAACTCAGCACGCAATTTAAATGTGCCATTTTACCAGCAATCATTCAACGAAGAGCAGGGAAGATGGATATGAGTCATCTCTGTCTGTGAGACGGAGAGAGAAGAACACACACTCCAAAAACGTCCAACAAGAGGTCGGCTGCGTCCAAGCCCCCTGCTTATGCCTCCACATTGTACCTCTCTGTCCATTATCCAAGCATTGCAGAATAGCCCCACAGTTTAAGGGCATATTTAGATGGGTTTGTTAAGAGGACATTGGCCTAAATGAAAAAAAACAACAACTATGCAATGGCCTGTATGTGTCATGGTTTAGGTTTTCTGCACTTTGAGTTCCTGTATCATTTTGTAAATAAATCCTTTTTCTTCTGTGTCTTCCTTTGTGGTTCTACCTGTTGTGTGTTGACCTGCCCTGCCCTCCAGTGTATCTCTTGTGCGTTGTCCCCCAGTCACAAACACACACTCATTCACCCTGAAGTATTGTACATGTTCTTTGTAGAAGAGGAAACTGGAGCACCCGGAGGAAACTCATGCAGAATGTAAACTAAATTTTCTTTGTGTGGTGTGTCACCGCCCCTCAACTTTCTCTCTACCAGAGAGAGCAAATCTATTACAACATATTTTACAAACCCACAGTTACATATCTATTGTGTGACCTGAGACTGGAATACACACCATTCATGAATTCAGTCCTCATATGGCTCTGCATACTTTGATGAGGTGCTAACAGCTAAAAGCACAACTAGGAGATGATTAAAATTACACCAAACTCCACTTTCCACTGTTTTCTGTCACAAAGCGCCACAGTGTCTCTGTGAACGATGCAAAAAGCAGCTCATGCAAACACATCATACTGAAGAAAACGGGGACTTCTTCAAATGCACTGTTAATTGGCTCATTTATTTCTCTGTGGTGGTGATAGAGAATTAACCAAAGAAGCTGGAATGAAACTCATCTAAGTTTTGCATAAGGAGATGTCTGAAGCTCTTTGACACATGTGCAGATGGGATGAAGCCCTCGGCTGTTGTCTCGGAGCTAAACGCCTCTGTCACAGCTGACAACTCTACAATTGATTAAGTCAGTCTCAGAGACATGAAGACAAGAGGTCACCCATATGAT